ACTCACTCACTCACTCGACTCACTCACTCACTCACTCACTCACTCACTCACTCACTCACTCACTCACTCACTCACTCACTCACTCACTCACTCACTCACTCACTCACTCACTCACTCACTCACACACTCACTCACTCACACACACAGACACACACACACACACACACAGACTCACTCATTCACTCACTCACACACACACACGCACACACACATACATACCGTAGACATGTAGTGTAGCTGTGCAGGAGTACTGTCCACATACATACCGTAGACATGTAGTGTAGCTGTGCAGGAGTACTGTCCACATACATACCGTAGACATGTAGTGTAGCTGTGCAGGAGTACTGTCCACATACATACCGTAGACATGTAGTGTAGCTGTGCAGGAGTACTGGCCAGCAGCGTTGGTGCCCACACAAGTATAAGACCCACTGTCCTCCTCCCCGGCATCCAGAATCTCCAGGATGTAGTTCTTCCCCACGTGCTTGGATGTGATACGAGAAGTCTCCAGCACCTGTGATGTCAAGTAGCCATTAAATAACTTGACTGTTTAAAAAATGTCTCAGACATTTTTCTGAACACCGTGTGACAAACACCATTTAAATAGTTAAGAGGAAAAATGAACAGTTTTCTTGTCTATACGACTTTTTGGAATGTGTCATTGTTATGCGTAAAAAAAACACCCCAGAGCCATGCATCTATTGTTTTTCCACTACATTTATATTGATACTCTAAAATAATGTGTGCACCTGAGTCATTAATACTAAACTAAAGGTAGAGAAATCTGGAGACTGTAATGTACCAATTTGGCTTACACCAGGCCAATATCTTAAATTAGTGTTTTAGATTCTTGTATGTATATTGTATATAATATTTCTGAAGCTTCCTTCAGGGTGTGTGTTAATTGTCATATCAAGCCCTGATATCCGTAGCTAATGTAAACTCTCTTTTAGTTACCTCTATTCCATCCTTAAGCCAGGAAACAGCCGGTTTAGGCTCCCCTGAGACTTCACTGATCAGGCTGACAGTCCCTCCTTTCTCCACTCTCTGGGATCGCGGCTTCAACTTGAAGTCTGGGGGTACCAGTCTATGGAAATCAAGTTGAACATAAATTGATTATCAGTGTGTAGAAGCTTATAATAAGTGAGAACTTAATCATGTCTTTTTAATGATCAACTTCTGGTCATTTGCTAAGAAAAAGTACCTCTTCAACAGAATTCTTAATTTTCCAGTTCTTGCAGTAATTCCATAGATAATTGGTTTCTTACACAACTTCTATTTTCTCTAAAATGTCCCAACCTAAAAATCACAACAACCCCTACTCTCACAAGGCTTTACACTGACAAATGTTCTATATACAAATAGATATCCCACCTCTCCTGTTCAGTGACATGTACAATGATGTCACACTTGACCGTGGTTGTCCCACTGTTGGCCTGACATGTGTAAGTCCCTGCATGTTCCTTCTTTATCTTGTGGATAGTGAGGATGTGGAGGTCACCCTTGGTGGTCTGGTTGAATACAGCAGAGTCAGGGAGAAGCTTGCCTCCATGGAGCCACTTGATGGTGTAGTTACCTACAACAGAAAAATGTTTGAAGATGATCTGATTTTAACAATTCCACTGTATAAAACTATAATGGAAATATCACATGCAGAATGATATTTGTAACATTATTAGACTAAGTATGTACAATGTATCATCATCATCATTAAATGTATAGGAAATATATAACTTTTACATATCTAGTGCAGAATTATAATCCAAGCTTAATATAATAGGAATTTTCTCTGGCATGTACTTACTAGTATAAGAAGGAGCTGAATGCTCTTTCTTTCTGGTGCAAATTGTGTCAATTACAGTCAATCTCTGCAAGACTACAGTGTATAATATGAAGTAACAACTTGACTCATAAGAATTAAAGCAAAAGACTACAGAGACCTCTCTTTACAAACTACATTTTTTGTACAAAATACCTGAAGATATTTTACCAGGGATGCCAGCCTGTAAAGTGACCTCCTGTCCTTCCTTGACTGTGACCTCTGTGGAAGCTCCTGTGTCTTTTCTCACAACCTGGCTGGTAACCTGAGGTGACAGGGAAATATTTCTGACCATCCCGTTGCTCTCAGAGACTGTTAGTGTTCTTCTTTCTAGTATCTTAAAAATTACAGCCAGATATTGCCTTAAATGTACACTGATAGCATGGTACATCATCATCATCATCATCATTCATCCTCCGTAGAGGTGGAGCATACAAAGTTAGTTCGCCACAACTGTCTGTCATACATCACTGAGCATGTCAAGCCAGTTTCAGTTTCAATAAGTTTCTTGTACACTACTTAGTAAACATGAGAGTAGTGACTGTCCTTAGTGCTGAATTATCGGTGGTGCCTTCCACTATATGGTATAACAAAAACTGCTTGAAGTTAAAGCCAATTTATTGTAAGAATACTATGAAAGCTGAGGAGATCTCTTCAAGATACTTAAAGTTATAATGACAATGAACTTTATTGCATATTCACACCCTACATGGGCCAAATGCACTACGTTAGATAACTGAGGTACAATAATATAAGGAACAAGTGTTACATTACTGTGCTACATCTATATCTACAGGATCTCTCCTCTCTTTTTGAAACATGTATGAACAAATTAACTTTGTATTATTATTATTATGGACTCCTGGAAGGATAGAAAACTGAACAAACAAACAAACAAACAAACAGATAAAATCTTCTGAAATAAAGACTAAACTTTAACTGCCAACACTACAATGAATTGGGACTCTTTTTGGCTGACTTCGTCAACTTTGTACACAGACTGGACCCATATACTCTTGGAATGTGTCATGAATTCATTGTAGTGTTGGCAGTTACAGTTAAAGTTTAGTCTTTATTTCATAATGACTTCTACCAACACAGATGAACTTTCATGCTAAATAAAATCTTCCTACCTGCATCTCCTTGGCAATCCTGGACTCTGTCCTCATGGCCAGGTCACTGTCCTTGATGCTCAGCACGATGTCACACTTGGTTTCTCCCGTCTCTGTTTCGGCGCTGCAGGTGAACGTCCCCGCCCACTCCTTGGTTACCTTGGTGATTCTTAAGGTGTGGATGTCGTATTCGGAGAAGAAGGTCACCTGGTCGGATTTCGACAGCGGTTTTCCGTTGAAGAACCACTTCACTGACTTGCTCCCTGAAAATAAGGTAAAAGTCATTTTATTTGCAAACAAAGGCCTGAAAGCTTTTTGAGAAGTAATATTCAGTATGTAAGGATGTTAAAAAATACCTAGTTTATAGATCTATCTCAAGTTTCTAAAGGCATTTAAGCACACACATAAACATTATGGCTTTACTTTTAGCAAAATCCACTAAGAAAAAAAATCCACTACAGAGTTTTTGTAACACAAGTAAGCAAGATCAGGAACAGATTGAGATTTATAAGTTAATTCCTTCCTCAGCACAAAACTCTGACAGCATTCTGTCTACTAGGCAGTCCAGCTGCTAACGCTGAGTGAGAGCTGACAAGATAAAAAAACAAGCAGACCACCTACCTGGTACCTCAGCTCTTAGGTTGACTTCCTGTCCTTCCTTTACCTCGAAGAACTGCGGCGGAGTCTGTGCGGCGGGTTTCTGGATCTGTAACAGCTCGGTTGTTTTCTGAGTCAGGGTGGGGGGGCCGACTGTCAGCAGGATGTCACAGGTGGCAGCACCGTGGTCGGTCTTTGCTACACAGGTGAACTTTCCTGGGGATGGGAGGATTTCAGAGTAAGACCACTTCAATTCATTTCCTTGGTTCTTGCATACTTCAAAGTAGAAATTTAGCAAGAGGTCAAGGTGAAATCAGAAGGCCCAGAAAGCAAAACTTGGACCTCACTACATGACATTGTATATTCACTCCCTGAAACTCTGTACAGCTGTAAGGCTCTGTCTTCAACATACTCTTTACATTTAGCATTGTTCTTTTAAATCTCAGAACCAACAAGTAAAATTGAATAAAGGCTCATATTATATAGGAAAGTGTGCTATTTCATCTCAATATTGTGTGCTGATTTTGAGCAACTTATTTGTTATAGAAATGTAGAAGCCTGGTCTGTTTTGTCTACACAGAAACACTTTAGATAGCAACATTTCTAAGTGAATAAATACCTTTTTCAAAATGACCAGAATACACAACAAGACATCAAAAACAGCCATAATTATAGTGATAAAGATGAAGTCATAACAGTAGTAAACATAATTCATGGTACAAATCATTGCTAGCCCTACCTGAGAAATCGCTGGTAACGCTGTTGATCTTTAGGATGTGGACGTCGCCGTCAGAAGAGAAGCTGATGTTCTCAGACTCAGTCAGCTCTTTCCCCTCAAACATCCACACGATGTCTGCCTGGCCTGGAAAATAACCATTACTAAATCATGAAGCTAAGAAAGGTGATTGGATCTTTTAAGATGAAGTAGACAAATGTAGTATTCATTGTCAACAACATGTGATTGCTTTTAAATCATCAAGCATTTGAGATCTGATGCCTGAAAGCTCCATTGAAAGTGTTTATTTGCAAGAAACTCTATTACTTATTATAATAAGCAGCTGAATATTTTTTTAAACTGTCATTTCAAGTAGCAACCACTACTTTTGGTCAGTGACTAATAGAATCTGTACTTGAACAAGAATTTATCAAAAACCATGAATTGTAAATTCCACTGACCAAAAGTAGTGGATGCTCCTGACAGTTTTCAAAATCTATCCAGTTGCTTAAATAATAAGTTTTCTTGTGTATAACAATATTGATGATACATTGACAAAGGTTAGACATCCACAGGTAATTTACCTACTACTACATGTAGATGTCTAATATTCGTCAACATATTATTGATAGTGTTAATTATTTCTAAAAGAACCTTGTTGTGTTCATATTTTCATGCTTACCTCCATGTGGGCTCCAAGGATCTAGGAAGACAGAGACAGATGTTGAGATGGGGACAGTTCAGACATGACAGCATCAGTGAAAATGTACCACAACAAAGTAAGGGTGACATGTAGTGACAAAAACTATTCCAGGATCACAATCCAACAGTTACTGTACAGGGTAATAAAATCTAAGACATAATACAACAGTACGAATACATGTCAGAGACAGGAGAATGTTGTAGACTGTAGAGAACATTAAGCTACAAATGGGAAACAAATGAGGTAAATAACGTGTACACTGAGATAAATATATACTGTTTTGTGACTTTGTGTCATTTTGCCTCCCTAATGATGATTATATACACCATACTGTTCAAGATTGATTCAGCATACAATTGCTGAAGGTTTTGAACAGGACAACACATGCTTGAACACATCACATCTATGTACAGCATTGGTCTATCCTACATGTATGTGTAGTAAACACCCATTGAACTTGAAGAAATTGGTTACAGGTGACCACTATATATATGTGAGAAATCTTAATGCTTCAGGATCAATGTGAGAAATAATCAAGTGACCAACAAAATATGGAATCAATGGCCAGGTGGTCTTTATACAGAATTTGGCTGTAATTGTCTGAAGATGATTCTTTATAACTTGGTTGTGTTCCTACCTGGTATCTCAGCCCTGAGAGTGACTTCTTGTCCCTCCCTGACTTCAAACTGTGCCACAGCAGGAGAGGGCTGGGTGGTCTGCACAGGAGACCTCAGCCGCCACTGCTGCATCTGGACCTGGTAAACACACCCAAAAAGTGTTTCATTGATTTCAGGTATCTCTGTAAAGAGATCCTCTAGATATAGAAGTAGCACGGCAATATAGTACAGTTTTGGTCACAAGTACAATCAGACATTATTTGTACCTATATAAAATATCTGTGACAGGATCTCTCCTTGGTACTGAACAAAGTATTACTAAGAAATAAGGACTTCTGAGCTTTTATTTGTAGCTCTCAAAATGGGAATGGTTCTCTGAAGTTACAAGTGTATCATATATTGCCACAAACTCAGGTCAGGCCCAACAAGCCCCTGACATATCAGAGTGAGAGACTGTGTAACACACAGGCTACAGTGTACATTACAATTAGATGGACTTCTTTCAGACTCCCTCCTACCTCTGCCCCTTCTGTTTCCAGAGTCTTCTCCATCTCTAGATGCTGGTCCGGAGCTTCCTTCACATTGACCACGATGTCACACACGGTTTTCCCACTGGGAGTCTTTGCAATGCAGGTGAAGGTGCCAGACCAGTGGCGGGTGACTTTTGTGACTGTCAGCATGTACACATCCTTGTCTACTCCAAACTGTACATCATCAGAGGGCTTCAGTTCTTTACCATTGAACAGCCAAGTGATGTCAGGTTTTCCTGTATAAGACAATGTTTACACTGTTAAATTACAGCTGCACTTTATCATGTGTACATCTTTAGGGTACTATCGCAACTATGATATTGTTAAGGCATGCACTGTAGAATTCTTATAATAATAGCTTATCCTACTGATGAAGAATGAAAGTTAGGTTTCATGATTATCTTCATGATCAATGAGAAATGTTTGTGGTTTTTTGTTTCAATGTATGAAAAATTTTGCATTTAAGTTTTAACAGTAAAAATTGCAATTAGTCTGCCTCTATTCCTACACTAGAATGTGTCACAGAAACCCTCCCTATTTTCATCAACTTTTTAAGGCTTCATACTAGTTGTAGAAGACCATACAAAAGTCCCTGTACTTTTTTGTTGTGTCAATAAAAAAATCTATAAACCAAATTTTGGTGCCCTGCTGATGATTGTCACCATGTACCTGGAATCTCAGCCCGTATGTTGAGCTCCTGCCCCTCCTGTATGTCTATAGTACCCGGTGCAGTGGACCTCTCCATAAGTAACATGGGCACTCTGAACGTCAGCTCCTGTGTGCGGACAACCTGCTTCCTCGTAGAACTTGTAGCATGCGGTGGTGAGGAGGGAATGATATGCAGGATGATCTGGCAGCGGCCGGTGCCATGAGGAGTAGTAGCGATGCAGGTATACGTCCCTTCAAACTCCCGTAGGACCTTACGGATGGTGAGAGTGGAGGTGTGTTTTGTGTCGGACACCAGGATGGACTCGGTGTTGGTGATCTCCTGGTCGTTAAACAGCCACCTGACATCAGCATCGTCTGGGGTACAGACAGTGGGGGGTGGGATGGGGGATGGTTGGAGTGATTAGTATTATTACGTATTTAAACATGAACCACGAATGGTACAAATTCTCTCACTTCAGTCATGCAATGCTTATCCCTTATGGTACTGGTTCAAATGAGCTACATGTAGATGACCTTTTTAAAGATGAGGGTTATCACAAAAAGTATTCTTACTTTCTTTCATTACTTATCCATCCATCCATCCATCCTTCCACCCATCTATTCAGTTCATTTTAGCAGTCAAAATTCACTAAGTAAAATATTTAGTCTCATTTGTTCATTTCCTACCTTTTCTTCCTTCTCTTTTCCTACATTTATTCATTCATTCATTTACTTACTCAGCAAATACTCACCTACACACACACTCACTCACTCACTCACTCATTCATTCATTTCTTTCTTTCCTATTCTTCCTTTCTGTTTCTTTTTCTCTCCCTCTTTCTCCCTCTCTTTCTCTCTCTCTCACTCTCTCCCTCTCACCTGGTACCTCTGCCCTGAGTGTGACCTCCTGCCCCTCCAGTACGTCCAGTGTTGTAGGCTGTGTGCAGGGCTCCTCTGGGAGCTTCAGTTCCTGGCTCTGCAGCGATTGGTCCAGCTCAACCATCTGGGAAACAATGTCAATGACAATGAACTTTATTGCATGTTCATGCCCCACATGGGCCAAATGCACTACGTTAGACAACTGAGGTATAAAGGTAGTGGAAACAGTACTACATTACTGTGTTATGTCTATATCTACAAGATATCTTCTCTCTTTTTGAAACATTGAAACATACAAATTTAGATAGTTTTTCATTTACATTGTATTTCCTAGATGACATAAATGTAATATGTTTGAACAATTCTCATTTTGGTAAGTGTGCATATTTCTGTTCTAATCATGGTGACATAGTACAATATAGTATGAGTTAAAGGCCTAATGTGACTTGATTTTTCTTGAAAGTCCAGAACTAATTCTTTGGACTTGAAATTCAACACTTGAATTTTTAAGTCTCGAATTACTTCCAGCAAACCGGTACACAGCACCAATTCTGACCTTGATGACCTCCTGACCCTTCTCGACCTCCAGTTTGATGTTACAGGTGACCTCTCCCCTGGGCGTCATGGCAACACAGGTGTACGTCCCAGCATCCTCTGGTTTCACGCTGATGATGGTGAGGCTGTGCATGTTTCCGAATGAGCTGTACCGACGGTCTTCTGTCTCCTGGATCAGTCTGCCGTCTAGGAGCCACTCTATTCTTCTGCTGTCTGTAATTACAGTTACAGGCTAAATAAAAGTTCTAAACATCACCTAATGTTGGTGATAGTGAGTTCAGTACCAAGGACAGGTCCTGTCACAGATATGTAATAGTTAGTGATAGTGAGTTCAGCACCAAGGAGAGGTCCTGTCACAGATATGTAATAGTGATGGCCAATTCAGTACCAAGGAGAGGTCCTGTCACAGATATGTAATAGTTGGTGATAGTGAGTTCAGTACCAAGGACAGGTCCTGTCACAGATATGTTATAGTGATAGTGAGTTCAGCACAAAGGAGAGGTCCTGTCACATATATGTATGTTATAGTTGGTGATGCTCAATTCAGCACCAAGGA